AAGTTCCATGCTTCGAGCCGTTCTTCCACTGCGGGGAATTTCGGAGGCCAGGCACCAGTTTCTCATTTATTACAAAATATTAAATTACCGACACAATTTCAGTGTAAATTATAAAATTTATATCGGGATTGTATAGGGAATAGTGCATTAAACAATTTTTCAAGCTTAGTACTCTGCCCTTCCTATAATTTGTGCGCCAGAGTCGGTAAAAGAAAAATTAGATCCTGACTGAGAAAAACTTAATACTTTAGGATAATTCGCTTATTTTCGCATGTTTTAATGTCCCGTCATTTAATTCATGATTTACCATCTTCGATAACTTTAAGTTTGCTAATGCGTGTTTTCGCGTGTTTTTTAAACATTTTTTTGGAAAAAGGATGAAATTACACAAGTTTGTGTTCGCTTATTCTAATCATTACACATTCAACAATGGCGAGAAATCATTAAAAGGGACTGCGAACATTCGCTGGGATAACATTTTCTGATGTAGGAATACTAAATACTGATATTTCATGCGCTGTTATATCTCACCACCTGGTCAACAGTTGCAGATTAACGCATAACTTTTCGGCAGCCTGGAGCATGGGGTCAAAGGAGAGCGGCTTGATTCCACTCCTCTCTATCACCTCCTGAGCAAAGCATATGCACGGGAATGCGTTAGGCCTGAAACATGCCCATTTGTGTTGATGTTGTTTGATTACTTACATTAAAATTGTCAAACGAAAGTCCAAACAGACTTTGACATACACCAGACTAGTTGCTATGTTGTAATATTGAAAATGATCTAAACTTGATATTGAAAAATATCAACAGGAAAAGATTTATTCCAATAAGCAAGTGAATATTTTCAGTATTTATTTCAAGATACATGTAATGTATTTAAGTTAACATTTTGTATTTGGTTAATTTATTATTATCATCCCTTTTAACAGCTAAATTCTTATCAAGTGATGGACTGTTTACAAAGACAGTCAATGTGTATGACTCCGGAGTGATGATAAGCATGGATTTTCGTAATAATCCTGATGAGAGTGACAACGCCATTACTTGGATGAAAGATGGAAGTGCCGTTCTTACATCATTTGATGGGCAGACTCAGATTAGCTTCCCAAATACAATCCAGACATCAGACCAAGGAATCTATGAGATCTACTATAATAACGAGAGGAATCAAAATAGAGGAGGATTATACAGACTCATCGTCAGAGGTAAATGTACAAGTGTATTCCTGTTTAATTCAAACTTGGTTTTTTAAGAGGAATCATTTGTTCTCCAATATGATATTGCTTATTATGATGCATATACAAAGTTTTGCCTCATATTTTGCCTCATATTTTGCCTAGACATTTTTATTTTAGATTGATTGGATGATATCTTTACATATTCATTTATATTTTAATATTTTAAAACCCAATATCACAGAACACCCTTTAAAACAATACTTTCTAAGCAGTATGAACTGCAAGATAAGCACATTCTATTAGACCATGTCATTCCACTCATATTCAGTAATAACCCTTGACCATGACCATTTATGGGCATGAGGTCTTTATGTTTAATTCACGAATGTTGATGTTTTATTCATGAATGTTGACCATGGCCAAATATGGTCTCAAATGTCTTATGGCAGACCATGGCCGGAACTTTCCCAACAGTATAAATAGTTTGTGAAATATTTCATGGGGGTTCTTCACTTTCTCGTCCTCACCACCTTCAGGTGAGGATTGAACAGCGAATGCCCCTGCCTATTGTAGGCGTATACAGAGGGGTGGCTGCTATATTAAACACGGCACTTTATCGGTATTATCCTCAATAAAATACTATCCTGAACTTTATATGAATTATTTTCCACTGTTTTCCATCTTCCCCAATTCATCTATTAACAGATATGTCTTAAGTCATCTGCATGTCTAGCTAACACTCGCCCTATTAGCCACGCTACGAGGACTACCAAATATCTAATTTTACAGAGTGTTAATACAATATTGATGAAAAAAATGAATGTGAAAAACTTCTCTCCCTATCTCATATTAGAATGCCCGGCTGGTAAGTGGGGTCCCCCTGAATGTTATGGTATCTGTGAAAATTGCTACAATGGTGGAGTCTGTGATGACAAGTCTGGTCTATGTATCTGTCCTAACAACTTCAAAGGACCGAATTGTTTAGAAAGTAAGTACATGTACATGTAAGCCTGTAGAACTTCATTAGGAATGATGTTTATTTTTATCTGTTAATAGATGAATTGAGGAAGATATTCTTGTCGTATTCTATTGAAAATGAACAGATTAATGTTCATCTATTCTACATGTTCATTTCATGTCTTTCTTCTACCTGACAAGGAGATAGATACATCAGAATAGTATACAAATATACACTGGCTTGAGAGGTTCTGGTTAAAACTATGCGCAAGAGGTGACTCAAAAAGTACTATTTGCTGAGGGGCGCAGCCCCTCAGCAAATGGTACTTTTGGAGTCACTGAGTACCGAGGTATATTTGTTTTATAACCTGAATCAAAACATTATTTTATTTTTTAAAAAATTGGGAAGACAAAAAAATTTAGAACCCCAAAAATGTCAATTTGTATCTGAAAAGATTTAAACCATATTTTTTTCTTCATTAAATTAAGATTTGAAGAAGAAAAAAATCAATTAAAAAAAAAAAAAAAAAAAAAAAAAAAAAAATCACATTTTTTTTCAACTCCCAAATAGTTTTCCCAAATAGTACTCTCACATAGTACTTTCATTTAATAGTTAAAATATTTCAGGTCATGTGACGAGCTCTCAACCAATCAAAAGCCAACAAATTTTTGATTCAGGATATATATACATCATGTCTTTGGACATTTGTATGTACTTGTAAATTTTCATTTCACTATTAACCATTTGCGATAATGTTGATTTATCATTTATAATTCTGTTTATAACAAGTAGCTTTGTGATATTTTATAATGCATTATCTGTCATTTATTATTAGCAGTCTGTTATATAGACGTAAATGACTTTGTAAATACTTTGTAAAGTGTCCCTCTCTACTAGAGCTGCGGATCATTCTATTGTACATGTAATGTTTAAACACTGTACGTCAAGTAAATCAATACAAAAATGAATGACAAATAATAAACAGCAGGGGAAAAGATTGCTCTTGTTTCTATTATTCCTTGATACCATATGAAATGTCTAAATAATGACTTAATAAATGTCTCAATAACATTAGATTTTATGATCAACAAACTTTGTTATCCATGGTATGGAAGGGCTGTATTCAGTGTAGAAAAAAACTATCATTTTTAAAGTGCATTAGACACCATCAGTAGTTTGCAAAATGAGATTACAGGTAAGCAACCATATTGGAAATTGATTTCATAAAAATCTAATTTCTTATGCAAGTCTACAAGGCTTTGGTACAAAAATGCAACTACATGTATTGTTGTTCTTCAGTTTGTAGAAATGATGGTGGAAATCGATTCGGATGGAACTGCGAGTTTCGATGTACAGTTAGTACCAGTGATCCTGTCGCACACTGTCATGGGTTTCTTTTTTGCCTACCTGATCCGTATGGATGTTCATGTGACGTCGGTGCCCATGGTCGTACATGTAACACACGTAAGTCTTCAATATTCTATCAATTGTGCTCAAATTTTAGTAGTGAGATAAATGTACCTAGGAGGCGTAAAAGTTATCATACATGTACATCTGCAATCCTCAGAAATTATAATTATACCATAATGTAGCTGGATTTATGAGTGTGGTCAGGCGCAACTCAGTGGAGAAGGAGAAGGAAAAGGAGAGGAAGAGGAAGAAAAGAAGAAGGAGGAGGAGGAGGAAGGGATGGTGGTGGTGGTGGTGGTTGTGGTGGTGGTGGTGGTGAAGATGAAGGAGGAAAAAAAGAGGATAAATTTATAAGACGAAATTATTGTAACATGTACAATGTTTCTTTCTTGTATTGTATTTGACCATCCTGTTTTTGTGATGTGTTTTTAAATTTCTATTACAGTATGTACTGCTGGTACATATGGTCCAGGATGTACACAGACATGTCACTGTGCAGGCGGTGGTTCATCATGTAACATCTATAGTGGAATATGTACAGGTGAATGTCTGACTGGCTGGTCTGGGGACAACTGTCAAAGTAAGTCATGGTCAACAACGAAAACAAATAATATGACAAAATGCTTTCCTCAAATAAGATAAATCAGAATTTTACTTTTACAATATATCTTTGTAATTGTTGTTATTTTGTTAATTTCTAACCCCGATGCCTGCAGGACCTTGGGGTGCCTGTACTATACCCATTTGGAGTAAGATAATTCACTATTATATAATCACTGGAGGTTATATAGAGGAGATGCATGCTTTCCATGAATACTTGAATCTCTCTAGTGAAGACTCTGCTAAATTCAAGAATATGTGTAATAATTTAAATGAATAGTTTGGAAATAAATCTTTTTTTTGCAAAAGAAGCAATCTGATTTTTGTGAAGTCCACTTTATATTATTTGGTAGTAGTACTTGCTAAATTGTGATTTCTGAAATATTTTCTTATCATCCCCAGTTCCAGATGAATGTGAACACGGTTACTATGGATCTCAATGCACTGATAAATGTCATTGCTTGAATGATGAACCATGTGATAAAGATACTGGAGGGTGCCCTGAGCAAAAGTGTGCACTAGGATACAAAGTACGCAGTGTCCAGGTCATATGTCAAGGTAAAATACTATTTTTCAATAAAGGGTGTTTAATTTTCCATATCACTTTCTATTTATATAATAATCTCCAGACTACACACAACATGTACATCAAGTGTGGCGCAGTGTGCTTGATACACCAGGATTGTTTTATGTACGCATGTATGAGCACTCATAAATCCATGTACATGTATATATTGGTCATATCAACCAGATATATGTACATACTGTAGTGCTGCGAAAGTAAATACAGTATTATAATGTTTACTCTGTAGGGGGATTCTAGTATGCAAGTATTGACTGCTTTGTTGGGCATGGTTGAAACTGTTGCCCAAGGTGATTTTGAAGCTGTACACAGTTCAGTTGATTAGATTATGACCTCGAAAATCAGGAGTCATTATTTGGTGTACCGAACTTTTTTCCTGTCATTATCCTACACTAACCAAGTTCTTAGCTACGACCCTTGACCCAGCAGTGACCTGACCCTAAACCTTAACTAAAACCAATCGCGACCCGAACCCTAAACCGTACCTTTGATGAAATACAGCCCAAAACAACTGTCCCAGGAGCAAACGTCTGATAACCATATCCTCAGCTCTATTCTGTAGCAGAGACTGAGAGAGAGAGAGAGAGAGAGAGAGCTGTATCCTAGTTGTGACTAAATGTATTGTCTTAGAATAAAGAGTTGCAGCCAGCATGGTGGGCTGTCCACCTGAAAGTAGTAATCAAGAGAACAGCAGATCAAGAGGAGGTCCCTGAACTGCTGGCTGCCATAGATTTCTAGTAGTCCTGGGGCCCGTTTCTCGAAACCGTCATAAGTCTAACTTCTTGACTATCCCATTGAAACATGTGTTAATTCTATAACACACGTTTCAACGAGATAGTCAAGAAGTTAGACTTATGACGGTTTCGAGAAACAGGCCCCAAGGGGAGTGTTTCACAGTGACTAAGATTGACTTCAAGTCGGACTTAACTATACTGTTACACATGCGTCGGCTTTTAAAGCCGGCCCCGGAGGCTGCCTCACACCTGCAATTTGAAGCCGCCTCGAGATCATCAAACAACTGTTACACATAATCTCGGGCCCGCAATTTTGTGTCTACACATAGACCGGCCTCACGTCGCCTTTTCACATGCTTACGTTGGGGCGCACACCAGAAAGACAGAAAGAGAAAGTGATAGAATGATAAAAACTAAGAATAACATAAAGAAAGGTGATAGAAGGAAGAAACAAAGAAATACATAAGGAAAGACAGAAAGAGAAAGTGATAGAACGATAAAAACAAAGAATAACATAAGAGAAGACAGAAAGAGAAAGTGATAGAATGATAAAAACAAAAAAAATAACATAAGGAAGGACGGAAAGAGAAAGTGATAGAATGATAAAAACAAATAATAACATAAGAGAAGGTTATAGAAGTAAGAAACAAAGAAATGCATAAGGAAAGACAGAAAGAGAAAGTGATAGAACGATAAAAAAAAAAGAATAACATAAGAGAAGACAGAAAGAGAAAGTGATAGAATTATAAAAACAAAGAATAACATAAGGAAGGACGGAAAGAGAAAGTGATAGAATGATAATAAACAAATAATAGCATACGAGAAGGTGATAGAAGTAAGAAACAAAGAAATACATAAGGAAAGACAGAAACAAAAAGTTGATGTTACACATACGTCGAGCCGCCTCCGGGGCCGGTCTCAGTCCACTTTCAGACGTATGTGTAACTGGGTTCAAATGGCAGGCCGTTCATGCCACTGTTTGCTCTCTCATTTACTGGCGTTTGTCTCTCAAGGGACATACAAATCATGGTCACAAATCTACAGAATTTACATTTTTTGATAATTCGATATTGAAGGAAAAGATATTATCTTAAGATCATAATGGTGAGAGTAACCAGTGGCATGAATGGCCTACCATAGTTTAGTCCTACTTAAAGTAGCGATCTTGGTCTTTGTGAGACACCCCTTGGACCTTGAATTGTAAAATTAAACTTAATCAGAAGAACATCAGCCAAAAGAAAAACGAATAATTTCACATGATTAAAACGATTTGATTTTTGTGTTTACAACCCTGTTTCCAGTAGACCTCGACCAAAGTTATCTTTGCCTTTAGTATTCTATAATAATCGTTGACCAGATGTTTCCAATAAACAAGATTTTTGTTTTACTTTTTTCAGAGTGTGAAGGGGGTACCTTTGGCTTGGATTGTCTTCAGCAATGTCATTGTGCTCAAGAGGCTTGCGAGACGAAGAGGGGTCTATGCAATGGACAATGCCTTGATAGCTGGATTGAACCGTACTGCCTTCAAGGTAATTATAACTAGCATATTGTATTCAGGCTTGTCTCCTTACATTTTCAGCTGAAAAAGGTTCAGATTAAGACCAATCTCAGAGTGCATATGGAGCTATGTGTGCGTGTATTTCATTTCATTTCAATGTTATCCATATCCATAATTGTATCAAACGAATTCATTTTCACTGGCAGCCTGCCTTAGCAACACACGGAATTAAGAAAAGACTTAACTCCGTTTCGTTGGCAATCGGCCGTAGACGAAAGACTTCATGCATGGCTGATTGTCAACGAAACGGAGTTAACTCTTTTGACAATTCTGTTTTTTACTACGGCAGGCAGCCAGTGAAAACGAATTCGTTTGATAAAATTATGGAAATGCAAGCACTACTTTAAACATACAGAACTGTGTCACTCCTTGCTCATTTTTCGTGATTGAGGTGTCATATGAAAGGGCAAAAACTCAACTTCCTAGAAATGTGATTTTCTCTTTGAAATTCAGATATCGTCCGCCAAATGACTTTTGAGTTTCCTCTCTTCAAATTTATTTAAATCACTCATGCGTGAAAAATCAGATGAGTTGCATCAAATGAAAGAGATGGATCTCAGCTTTCCAAATATGTGTCATTTATCAATTATAAAAGTGACTAAGTTATGATAAAACATCGATAATTATCGGTTTCATTTTTTCTGGGACGCACTGTATATAATATGAAAAGAAGAGGGCCAACAAGAGAGCCTTGAGGCACCCCACAGGTAATATTTTTAATTGATGACTGGTTATTTACAGATGTGTATTGAGTTCTGTCTGAAAAACCGTTCAAGGGGCTTCCCTCTGACACCGTAGTGAGACAGTTTAATAAGAAGAATGTTATGGTCAATAGTATCGAACGCCTCTGAGAAGTCTACAAATAAACCGTTCGTGTGGGAAGAGTTATCAATTGCACAAATTATTTTATTAATGAGTTTTAACATAGCATGACTTGTGGAGTGTTTTTTCTGAATCCAAATTGAACATCACTAAGTAAATTGTGTTGTGTAAGGAAATTTATAGTTCGTGAATACACAAGTTTTTCTAACATTTTGGAAAAAGAGGTAAGTAAAGAAATGGCCTGTAATTTCCCTGTTCACGTGAGTCACCTTTTTTTAATACAGGTATTACTTTGGCTCTTTTCATTAAAAAGGGTACGCCACCACAATGAGGTGACCGAGTTGCCATCTTCTATTGCTGCAGACATGTATATTTTTATTCAATGTTCTGTACTTTCGCTGTGATTTTGACAGGGATATCACGGTTATAAGCAATTGGTCATTCTTTCTAATACAAACAAATCCATTCTTTTATTTTTGAATATCACGATTGGTCAATGTTCTATAAAGTACATGTATGATTTTTTTTCCTATAATGTATTCTCGGTAAAATACATAAGGCAAGCAGATTTTGTGTGCAAAATTGTGTGTATTATTTAATGCTTTTTCTTTTCATGGTTCTTGACAGGAATATCCAGATTAGTTCCAGTGAGAGTGAACCCATACCAACCATCTAGCTTCACATGTTATGTTGAGGGTATCCCACTTCCCGATGCATCCTCAGTTGATCTTTACAGACGTACTGGAAGCACCAATAACAGGACAGGAATCACCAGGAGATCTACCACTGTCTCAGGGTCAGAACGAGCTGTTGTCTTTGATGTTGATAGTGTGTATCCACTGGAATCTGGGGAATACGTTTGCTTTTTTACTTTTGAAAGTAAAAGCTCTCACAGGACGCCTGTTACCAATGCAACCTATGGTGAGCAAATTGTGTGACATCGCTTTACTCAAATGTAATTCTGTGAGATACCTGTTTAATAGAAAGCATGACATCACTCTCTTTAAATGCAGAATCATTCTCAGTCAGGCTCTCTGCATACCGGGTTACAGGGGATTAATAAGTTTTGTTGTTGGAGGCTCTGGCTTCTGGACTTTCATGTCAAATGAAGAGGCAGGCACATGCCCTCCCTCTCCATAAAATATCAACCACAATAAAAACAACAACAACAATTACAACAAAAATTGTTTCAACATCAATGACAATCATAACTACACCACAAACCACTACCACAATAACAACAGCCACATAAAAAACAACCATTTCATCAGCAACACCAGTCACAACAGCTGTAACATCAACAACAGACGTGTGTTGCAAAATATGTGTGAATTAGCCTTCTAGTAGTACTGACAAATGGCTGAGCCTAGGGGGCATACTGAATAAACCAATATCTACTAAAATGAGGACATGGAATATCTGTTGTTATATTGATACAGTTGTTTGTGCAGGCAAGTCGCGTCATATACATTAACCCGTACATAGGCCCTACATGTGAGTTAATTAATACACTTTATATTTTAATATTTAATAATGGTAATATTTTGGGTTTATATAACACTTGATACATCTACAATGTCTTAGACTGCTTTACAATGTATTATGAACCCTGTCATTGTACTCAGGCTCGCTCAAACACAACGTATTCACTTTCTCCGTATCATATAATTATATGGTAGCTCTGTAAGATGTCAGTATAGTATTCATGTGTACTTTGGTAAATTTTATATACATATTGACTTGATGGAAGAACCTAGTATTATTGTCTCTTTTTTTTTTATTGTTCAGTTCTGCCAGTCATTGAGAATGCACCAGTTATAGTGAGCACCACGTCAACTACAATTGGTCTTCAATGGAACGCATGGTCTGCAGAAGACGACATAGGTGATCCTCCTCTGGTAGGATATGATGTCTTTGTCGAGAAGGATGGTGACTGGTTAACGGATCAGAGAGTAGAGCAACCCACAGCATCAGCCATCGTTAGTAACCTGACACCCGACACAGATTACAGGCTTCGTGTGGCAGCAGTGAGGGAAGGAGCAGGTGGAACAGGACCCGAGTCTCCTAGGAGCGACACAATAAATCTCTGTAGAAGTAAGTATTATACTCGGGAGGAAAATACTTGGTGATGGAGTTATACACCAATTCAAACATTTGTTTACAGGTACATTGTTTTTGCATTAGTAATTGATTTGTGCATTTAGATGTACATTTTGGATATTTATGAACTTTTCATTGATTGAATGCACTTTCCATCGAAAACTTTAATCTATCTAGTTTTTTTAGTAGAATATGTACAACAAAATGTTGCTTTTTTTCTATTCCATATATTTCGTTTTTTAATTGTTGAACCTTTCTAAATTTTGACACAAAAAATTTCCTCTACAAAATACGCATTTTCAAAAAGAAAGTTTATAGTACCCTTGACTGTGTTTTTCCCAACGGTAGTTTCATTTTGTTAACTCATTGACATTTGATTTAAAGCCACATGAAGAGTGTTTGTTGAAGCAATGCATGATTTTACCATGACCTACATGTACATGTAATGAATTCATCTACTATAAGTCCAAGCCATTTAGTATCTTGTGTATACTTTTAAACTTCAGAACCCAGTGCTTCTCCAACTGGACTACAAGTTTCAGCCATGAACCCTAAAGAGCTAGAGGTGATATGGGAGGTATGAACTGTTTTAAGAATAGCTGTTTGGTCACTTAGTGAAATGTAGTTGGATGTAAGGGGTTGTCCAGAACACAAAATGCATAATTGTTAATAGTCACAATTGTATTAAATAGAGGTAGAGCTGCACCCTTATGATATTGAGTTGGTAAATATCTCTTTTACCTTGATTACACCTGATTTTATCTAATATTTAATTACATTAATTATCAAACTCACTTCAATATTATGCCTTTGGCATTCTGGATGCTTTTTTACTTACTTCTCACCATTTGACTAAACAAAATAATTTGGATTTAAAAACAGGTGTACAAATTTCTCTGTTTGCCAGTTAAAAGTGTGAGATCAAATGGAGTTTGATTTTATTTCACAGAGCAAATAAAGAAATGTCTTGTAGTCAAGAGATTCTTGTTCTGCAGAATGCTCCATCATATTGATTGCAGCATCCTTATAAATGTGAAAAATTGTAGACAAAATATTCTAACATCTTGTAGTTTTGTGTATAAGTGTGAAAGTAGCTTCTTTTATGTGGTTGCGATGCATGTACTATGTATTTGCACCTTTATGTTTCAGCACCTCCCCTCGGAATCAGCAGAATGCAGGAGTGGAGTGACCCATTATATGATCTACTACGCTCCAACTGGATCAACTTCTTCAAACTCTATCTTGGTTCGTAATGACACAAGCTCTTACACGTTAGAAGGGTTGGATACTTATTTGGACTATACCATTCAATTGACTGCATCAAATAAAGACGAGGAGAGTGACCGGAGCAGTGAGACGGTCAGCAGAACACTTGAAGAAGGTAAGACTTCATCAGCTAATTATCTTGGATTCTTCAAAGGAAATATATTGATATTCCGATAGATAAAGTATTGAAAAGATGAGATGAATGAGTTTTTAGCTTGTTAGCTCTTATAATATTTTTTAAATCTTAACCATTACCCCCCCCCCCCCAAAAAAAAAAAAAAGAAGAAGAAGAAAGAACTTGCAATCCATGTATATTCACACCCTTTCATACAAATTGTATACTAGTTTGTTTATGCAGAATTCCTGCTTTCCCTTCACAGTTGCACCTAGTCCTATCAATTTGGCTATACCGCAGAGTACTACAAACTCCTTCACTGTATCCTGGTCTACCCCTCTACCACCTAACATCAATGGTAACATCCAGAAGTATGTCGTCCGCTACCAGCAAATTGATCCCGTTGATGGTGACTATACGTCAGAGGAAGTATTGAATGGTGCGTTTGAACATACTGTGGTCGATCTGACAGCAAAAACAAACTACTCAGTCCAGGTAATACATCTATATGTATTAATATGAATGTATATATACCACATATATGAATATTCTAGGCTTGTGATTGGTCAAAACCGCAGGCATAAAGTTTGCTATATGGACTGCTTGGTAGTGTAGCAAAGGAATATGATTGGGGATACCTCTATATGAACTTTAGCATACAATGCAAGGATGCAATACAAGCGCATGAACTTAACAATCGATGCACGCAGAGGACATTTATAAGCACTTGTGTCTGAGAATTTACGTCACCTGGCCTCTGAAAGGACAACTAGAGATGAGCTTTTTGAGAACTTACACTGTAGGATCTGTGTTGATAGAACATAAAAGAGCATATTCTCCGTTTGGCCATACTCTGTTTATGAATTGTGTCGTTTTACATGCAACTTGAAAGGGCAAAAAAGGTACGGTGTTTTTTAAAAGTGTTACAATATTAAACAGAACATGAACAGAGCAAGTTCCTTTCGGATAAGTAACCTGAGATTTGCGCTTACGTGGATGATAAAATTTCAAGAAAAAGGTTAGATGTATAGAATTATTTTTGTTATGATATCAACATTTCTTATATAGGTACAGACTGTTAATGGAGCTGGTTCTAGTAATTGGTCAGAACCTGTGACTGCTGAGACGATACAATCAGGTAAGAGCAGTATAATGCTGATTAATGTTGTGTTCATACATGTGTATGTAGCAGTGATAGTAATATAACGCATATGAAATTATAAGGCTTGCTTTGAACATTAGAATGAACCCATTCCAGTATCTTCAACACCATTGCAAAATCAACTCAGGGCAATTTCAAAACCATTGGCATATCCCATAGAAAAGGTGATTGTATTATACCAATGCTTCATTGCAATGTTCAGATGTTTCAGGCTAATAACTTTGTTATTCGTTGCTCATTTTTCCTGATTGAGGTGTGTCACATGAAAGGGCAGAAACTGAACTTTCTAGAAATGTGATTTCCTCTTTGAAATTCAGATACCGTCCGCCAAATGAATTTTTGGTTCCCTCTCTTCAAATTGATTTGAATCACTTATGCGTGAAATATGCATTATATGAGTTGCATCAAATGAAAGAAGAGGATCTGAGCTATACAATTATGTGCCATTTATTGATTATAACTGTGATTAAGTTATGATAAAACATCGATAATTCCCGGTTTCGTTTTTTTCTAGGACGCACTGTATATTCATAACACTGCAACAACTATTCTATTGACATCCACCCTTGGCCATACCCTTACAGATGTGAAAATGCTGTCTAAAAATAGATGGAACAAAATCAACGAAACATGCACACATTTTGCAAATATAATTTTACTGTCCAGCTTGACGCACCACAGGGTCTTCTGGTGGGGTTTAAGTTTCTCTCATCTTGTCATATATTCATTTAAAGCGTCAAAACTGAAATACAATCGCGACGGTTTTATGCGATTTCCTCCAACTTAGCAGCGCGTGCTGTTAAAAAATGTTAGGCGTTTAATCAAACTGTAAAGAGGGATGTCCATTCTGGTATTAAGTTGGTTTTAATGGAAGCAGAAAAATAAGAGGGACGGGTCAGTGAACATTTGATCAAATTTCGATCAAAAATAGAAATTGCGATCAATCAAACACAGTTTTTCTTTGCTATTGGTGGCAGAATGGTCTTTTTTCCATACAGGGGTTGTAAAAAATAATATTTGAACATTTGAATTTTCTTTGGGAAAATTAAAGATTTCTGATTTCATTCTTCTCTTTCGTTTGATCCCAAATAAAGGTCCTGTTAAACTGACAGCTGGGGTAGCCGTTGGCGCCATTCTGATCATTTTGATTATCATCATTGTAGTCATCATCGTGTTCAAACGACGAAGGTTTGTGAACTATTTTCTATTTTCAGTCATGATTATAATGTTCATGTACAATGCTGTCACTTTAATACTTCTATAGTAATTATACAGTAATCCCCTGTATACCATACTCTCGATGTAAATGAACTTTTTTATGTACGGACTTTAAGAACAAGCAGAATAGGGAAATTTGAAAATAAATGGCTATCTACATTCTGATAATTCTCTATTCCTTTCTTCAAGGAATACTCTACCGATGAAATATTTCTTTAAGTTTGATAGTTACCAGCTCTCGTAAATTTCTCTTCTGCTCACTTATTCTTCGCTTTTCGTCTTTTGCATTGAAACCGCAGGCGCGGATCCAGGGGGGGGGGCCGAGCGTGCCTTGGCCCCCCCCCCCGCAAAAAAAAAAAAAAAAAAAGGAGAGAGAGAGAAGGAAAAGAAGGGAAAGAGGAGAGAAAGGGAAAAAAAGAATATGAAGAAGAAAAGAAAAGAGGGAAGAAGGAGATCGGGGGGGGGGGAGGACTCCCCCCCCCCCCCTCCCCCAGCAAACCTAAAAGAGAGATAAGGAAGGGAAGGGAAAGTGAAAGAGGAGAGAAAAAGAAAGGAAAAAAAAGAGAATGAAGAAAGGTAAGGGATATCAGTTGCAATTTTCCCGCCAACAAGGTGTAGATCGAAGGGGGGGGGGGGGGGGCACTGGCATACTGATAGGGGAGGGGGGAAGTTGGAGAAATAGAAATCAAACGTGTTTAATTTATAGTTCCATAACGGTGGTTAACAAATAATGCTGAAATGAGATGATTTTCCTCACTTCATGCGTTTGTTGGAAAATGACAAATTCCTAAATTTACAGCCAGGCAAGAAAATGCTTCTTGAGATGCATACATATCAGGGCCCGCGGAACGGCGGGGATCGGGATCCTCGAGCCCCTCCCCCCCCACACTTTCTTTGAAAAAGTATATTAAAGAGAAATAGAAAGAAAGAGAGCGAGAAAGAAAACATAGTTAACTGCCAGTGTCACATTAATTTTATAATGGGGTATCAAAATATGCTCATCTGACCATGATTCAAATTAATGCCTAAAATCCTAAGGGCTCTGCCCCCTGGATTCCACCTAGGGCCCTAAGGCGGGCCCTTAGATGCTCATATGACGGTCATTTAATGCCTAACACCCCTGATTTCGGGGGGCTCTGCCCCCTGGACCCCACGCCAAATAGTGTCCTACTAGTGTCACAAATAATAAGGTATCAAAAATGTTCATCTGACCGTAATTAAACGCCTAAAACCCCTGAGCTTCTGGGGGCTCTTCCCCCTGGACCCAACCAAGAGCCCTTAGGTGGGCCCCTCGATACTCATCTGACCGTAATTGAGTGCCTAAAACCCTTGAGATTCCGGGGCTCCGCCCCCTGAACCCCAAGCCAATTACTGACCTGCCATTGTAACAATTAGGTATCAAAATAATGCTCATCTGACCGTAATTTAATGCCTAAACTCCTGAACTTCCGGGGCTCTGCCCCCTGGACCCCGTCTAGGGCGCTAAGGCGGACCCCTGAATGCTAATCTGACCGTAAATTAAAACCTTAAACCCCTGAGCTTCCGGGGCGGACAAGGTATCAACATATGTTCATCTGACAGCAGGCGCGTAGCCAGGGGGCGGTGGGGTGGTCCCCCAATAAACGCCGGCCAAAAAAGAGAGGAGTGTAAAGGAAGAAGACGTAGGAGGAAAAGGGAATAGACAAAGAACATATTTGAAATTCAGACAAGGATTAAGAGTCGAGAACGGTACAACGAATCGTCTTCTTTCTTTAATGATTTAATAAAACGTCAAAGCTTCCGCGCTGCGCGCGGGGGAGGGCAGGGGGAACTTAATTCAGACGAGGATAATTTTCAGGAAAGGTACAACGAATCGTCTTCTTTCTATAATAATTTAATGAAACGTCGAAGCTTCCGCAATTCGCGCGGAAGGGGGGGGGGAATTGATTTAGACAAGGATTAAGAGTCGAGAACGGTACGACGAATATTCCTCTTTCTCTAATGATTTAATGAAAAGTAAAAGCTTCCGCGCTCCGCGCGGGTGGGGGAAACTTAATTATTTTCGAGAGCAGAACAACGAATCGTCTTCATTCTCTAAAAATTTAATAAAACCTCGAAGCGGGGGGGAAACTGAATTTAGACAAAGATTAAGAGTCGAGAACGGTACAACGAATCGTCTTCTTTCTTTAATGATTTAATAAAACGTAAAAGCTTCCGCGCTTCGCGTGGGAGGGGGGGGGGGGCTGAATTTAGACAAGGATTAAAAGTCATAACGGTACAACGAATCGTCTTATTTCGCTAATGATTTAATGAAACGTAAAAGCTGTATTCAGACGAGGATTATTTTCGAGAACGGTACAACGAATCGTCTTCTTTCTCTAATGATTTAATGAAACGTACAAGCTTCCGCGCTTTGCGCGGGAGGGAGGGGAAAACTGAATTCAGATAAGGATTAAGAGTCGAGAACGGTACAACGAATCGTCTTCTTTCTCTAATGATTTAATGAAACGTAAAAGCTTCCGAGCTTTGCGCGGGAGAGGGGATGAATTAAGACGAGGATTAAGAGTAAAAAACTGTACAACGAATCGTCTTCTTTTTCTAATGATTTAATGAAACGTAAAAGCGGAGGGGAAAAACTATTTTTAGACGAGTAGGCACGTAAGGAAGGGGAAGGGGGTTAGGGGGTTGACACTCCCCCCTTCGGTTTTTTATGTGTGTATTTTGGAGCAACCCCCCCCCCCCCTTTTCTGTGATTTTTTTTTTTTTTTTTTTTTAATTAAAAAAAAAAAAAAAAAAATATGCCAATGGCTGACCTAAAAAAGGTGACCTTACCCCCCCCCCCCCCAACGGAACAAAATGTCGAATTTTCAAATTTCGAGACCAAAAAAAAAAGTGTCCTCTTCCCCCCCCCCCCCCCCCCCCCGCTTATTTAGCGGCTGGCTGAGTCGTTACGATTTTTTTTTCGGACCCCCCCAAAAAAGTGGGGCCCCCCCCTAAGAAATCCTGGATCCGCGCCTGTTGAAACCTTTGTTTTTTGGCTCTCTTTCTTTTCCAAAGGAATGATAGTAATCCGTCTAAAAAAGAAAACATCGAGGACCAATTTCAGGCACCTTTGGATTTTCAAGACACGCCATTAAAAGGTAGGCCTATGTTTTGATAGTAATTAATGTGATCAGGTAAAGAAAAAACTATAATCCTGAAAATAGCATGGAACGACGTGCTAATGGCAACAAAGAGACAACATATTCTAATTTTTCTAACCCCATAGAATTCTTACAACTCAATTATGCCCTTCCCTGATTCATAATGTCACGAACAAGACAAGTTTTTGGAAGAAATTTTAAAAAGTTTCAAGTGTAATGAACTAAGGACTTCTTTGGTTATTTGCAGTATAGGCTGATTCTGCGTTTTGCCACCCAAGGACTTTTCCTCCAAAAAAAGGATTAAATTGACTTTTTTTTCTGTTTATGTATGTATTATGACAGGAAATGACAACATTGGACACGCCTCCGTTTCGAACCCACACCATTCACCTCCAAGGAGCACAAGACCCAAACCAGCTGTAGCCATGAAGCCCTTTGTACGGGAAACGAAGTCCTTAGACCTCGATTCAACCGATGGATCTCCCGACAGGTCTAGCAACAAACCGATACCCCTGGCTCAGTTTCCTGCTTTCGTCAACAAGAACAGACACACCGCGCTCTTCTCCGAGGAATTTCATGTAGGTTTAATGAAGATCATTTCTATCAACAAGAAATATGTCTTCTTTTTAGTGTTTTGCGCTGAACATATTCTTTTAGCACTCAAATGTGTGCTACTCGCAGACTTAATGTCTTCCTGTGCTGTTGAGAACACCGAGTAGCGAGACTTCATCTTTGTTTGTAGCGTTTTCTGATTATATTTGTATATGCAAAATTTAAAACAATAAACTGAAACTGCAATTATATTTCCTTTCTCTTCTAGGATTTACCTGGCCCAAACATCTATCCTCAGACCGTGGCTCAAGAGGAGATCAACTTCACGAAAAACAGATACAAGAATATTTTACCATGTGAGTTTACAAACTAACAGGGTCTTTATTATGTTGAATTGTTAGGGATAGCTATAAAAGTTTGCTTTAACAAAGCTCTAGATAATGTACTTATCGTTGTCCGGAGGCATTATGTTTTCTGGTTGTCCGTCCGTCCGTCCGTCCGTACGTCCCGTTCTCGTGATCGCGTTATCTGAAGAACCGATCGATGGATTCCTGCCAAACTTTGGTTATGTATGTATCTTGCAGAGCCAATGAACTGATTAGATTTTGGGGTCACGAGGTCAAAGGTCGAAGGTCACAGGGCTCATTATGTATGCAAAAACAGCTCGTGATCGCGTTATCTCAAGAACCGATTGATGGATTCCTGCCAAACTTTGGTCATGTATGTATCTTGCAGAGCCAATGAACTGATTAGATTTTGGGGTCACGAGGTCAAAGGTCGAAGGTCACAGGGCTCATTATGTATGCAAAAACAGCTCGTGATCGCGTTATCTCAAGAACCGATTGATGGATTCCTGCCAAACTTAGGTCATGTATGTTACTTGCAGAGCCGATGAACTGATTAGATTTTGGGGTCACGAGGTCAAAGGTCACAGGGCTCATTATGTATGCATAAACAGCTCGTGATCGCGTTATCTCAAGAACCGATTGATGGATTCCTGCCAAACTTAGGTCATGTATGTTACTTGCAGAGCCGATGAACTGATTAGATTTTGAGGGTCATGAGGTCAAGGTCAAAGGTCATGTGGCTCATTATGTATGCAAAAATAGCTTGTGATCGCATTATCATTAGAACAGATTGATGGATTCCTGCCAAACTTAGATCATGTATGTATCTTGCAGAGCCAATGAACCGAGTAGATTCTTGGGTCATGAGGTCAAAGGTCAAATGTCATGGGCTCATTATGTATGCAAACATAGCTTGTGAATGCATTCTCATTAGAACTGACAGATGGATAACTATTTAACTCAGGACATCTTGCAGAGCCAATGAACTGAGTAGATTTTAGGGTCATGAGGTCAAAGGGTCATATATGTATATGAGAAATCGCTTGTAATCACCATATTCTGAGAACCTGTTAATGGTTTACAATTGAACTTGAATTTGAAAAATTTCTTCTGTTTTGGTTTGTAAACTTGCTCTATGACGGAGGCATCTTTTTCGACTGCGCGCAGTCAAAGTTCCATCTAGTTTTGATAATAATAGTTTGCAACTGTAGCGCTGACTGCAGTGGATTGCAGTGGAGCACCACAGTTCATTTGATTTACAGTGTACCAATGTATGTACTGATGTATGCTATCAGTTCCATGTCATAATTCTTTATTTAGAATATGAGTTTTCAATAATTCTTCCGTAAAGAGATGTTGCAAGTTTTATTACACTCTCAATAAAAAAGTAAAAGAGTTTTGTCCGTTGTCAAATCTCTGCAATTGAAACCTATACAGTACTTTTTTATGTTAATGTTTTGACTATAATTTGTTTGCTACTCTACCGGAAACCGACAACGAAGATAAACGACGAAAATTGCATGAGCAAAGAACTTTATGTTAAAAGCTACTGGCTATTTTTTTCTCCAAATATCCTATCTTTTATTCAGATGATTCGGCGAGGGTGAAGTTAGAAGTCATCGACAATAATCCTCATTCCGATTACTTTAACGCTTCTTACATTCCCGTAAGTAAGGTGGCATGTATCAATTTATCTATACATTGATTTATAAATATATTGGGTGGTATTCTCTTAAGTTAAGCCGGGACTAAGTCCAGACTAAACAAGAATTTTAGTTCGCACTTCTATGGAATGCTAGGTTTCATCTTCCTCCTTCAATATTCATGACAAAGATAATCTACCAAGGACTTTGTTGAAATTTAGTGTATACTCATATTATCTTTTTCTTCCTATTTCAGTGCAAAATTAATTTTTTGGACACTTTTCATTGAAGGATTAAAATAATCTGTTCAGGGTAAATTAGTTCACAACAGGCACTCCATAAAAGTGTGAACTAACTAAGCACGCGCTAACTTAGTACGCGCTACCGGAATACCACCCATTGTCATTACAATGTACTTTTATTTTAATGTTATAGAGTGGTTTGTCGTTGAATGAAGCGTCCAATATGAATGATATGAATCAAATCATTATTAACAAAAACTTTTAAAAAAACTTTGAAATATTAACAGGATGTAGCTTGAGTTGACGGACTACTTGAATTAGAAAACACGTTTCCTTCGCTGGATCTTTACACAATCCAAACACACACACACACACACACGCACACATGCATCCACACACACATACTCACGAACATCACACATGTATAATGGGAATCCCACCATCGGTTGAAGCTGCAATATAATTCCTCATATGACTTGAATTTTCTTGATCTTCTTTTATGTTCGATTAAAAAGAAGAACAAAATTGCCTACGGGAAAGCAATGCTGTAAATAGAGACTATCATTTTCCTCAAGCCTTGACATATGTATAGTTTCATTTTGATCTACTTTTCATTATGTAAACTATTATTTTTTCTTTTCTTCACATACAGAGTTTTGACAATGACAGGGCTTACATTGCATCACAAGGTATGTCCACTCTAATTTTTACGTCACGTTTACCAAGTAGTAAGTTATAAATACAAATCGTAAGACGTATGGATTTCGGTTACAATATTTCAAGTACAAATGTTTTATTCTTGTATACAAACACAAAAAAGTCGTCATTCCCATAAAAACAATGGAAACTTTGGTTTTCCGATGAGCCATAATTTATTATATTTGCAAGGACCGAACAAGGCCTCTATGGATGATTTCTGGAGGATGGTCTGGCAGGAGAATGTGACGACTATTGCCATGGTAACGAAGCTGAAGGAAGGAGATAAGGTCAGTCAATAGTATTTTCACTCGAATGTTAAATTCAAAGAAAAAAAGTCAGTTTAATTACTAATAGTTCACCTTTAATATTTGTCTTCATGAATTCTCAACACTTGGATTGCTAGCATTCATTTTCATGAGAGTTGCCAATGCTTTTATCTAATATCGTTTCAAAGTCTGTTATATTTTATTATGAGGGTCATCACTGGACATTCCTGACCACAATCGCCATAAAAACTATGTGAATCTCAAATTATCCTGATACTCCAATTCATTAATGACTGAATTTGTATCTTAACGTATACACAGATTTATTGATCGTGAGACCCTTATTCTATGCTGTAAAATTGAACAGGAACTTAATATAACCCATGAAGTTAAACGCTGATATTTACATTTCAATGCTTTAAAAAGTGTTGCTCAATGCAGATAGTACAAAGAGTTATCTAGGAAAGACGGATAATTATATAATTATACTATGGCTTAGTCGTAGTGGAGTAGTTTAAGCACTTGACATGAAATACAAAGGTCGTTGGTTCGATCCACGACACCGGTACTGATGTAGTTGGCAACTCGTTATTCTACATTTGCCAATCAATATCCAGGAGAAAAATGGGGACCTGGTGAGATGATGAACGCCTTTTTGTTAGTAATTGCTAGATGCCCTCACGATGACCATGTGGTAGAAATAGTCGCCAAAGAGTGAAGATGGTGCACATCGTGCTTGAATGAATCTGATACACTGGGAAATAATATGTGTGAAGCGCTCAGAGACGGTATTTATATCAAGCCCTACATAAACCCAGATTATTAAAATTATTAGTATTCACATAATAATCATATATTATTTCTGCTCCAGATTAAAGCGTACGGTTCTGTAATCTGATTATTTTATGTTTGGTTGCTTGAAATAGATCAAATGCGGTAAGTACTGGCCTAATATACCAGGCGATTCGGTGAAGTTTGGAAATATCAAAGTGGAACTGGAGTCACTGGAAGCATGCACAGGGGGAGTTAAAAGGAAAATGACGATGAAAAAGGTAGGCAAATATGTCATCTGCATATGCATTGCTACATCACATTTCAGGAATTAATTCCTGATGTCTTCCATTACCATGAACCAGTCGAATTATTATAATGAATATGAGTGAACCATCCGTCCCCTTGGACAATATCTATGAAAACGGTACTGCAAGTTAAGTCATTAATAGAAGTTTTTTTAAAGTTACTTTATAAATTATGATTTCATTAAGTTATTTTAATATGATTCATGCTTTTTTCAGAGCTAAGTTCTGTGCATTAAATTAATTCACTTTCACTGTGTATGACATGTGTTGTTCTCCTAACCAGGGGGACGACTGCAGGACCGTAACTCAGTTCCACTTCACAGAGTGGCCTGACAAGGGTGTTCCTAAACACACCTCATCACTGCTCAAGTTCATCAAGGAAGTCAAAGCTGATCATGGACAGTTCACTCATCCTCTGATCATTCATTGCAGGTAGGCTTAGTGGTCAATTTCACCTAGATCAAAACAAGTACCACAAACATCATCGTCAAGACCTTCAAGAAATGAACTCTACTTGTGATACTTTTTTTGTATTGATTTTAGAAATCATGTTCGGATTACGCAACATGTCATCGTAATGCTCGCTATAAGAAATAATAACATAATCAGAATATAAGAGATTTCAACAGCATATCGTAGACGAAAAAGAGCTTCCTAAAATAAGTTTGTATAATAATCGGGCTTTACTACAGCGAAACCTGGGTTCCCACACTCATGAATTTCAATTGACATTGCGTGAATATTTTGCTGACTTTTGCATTATCGTTCAATAGCTAGTGTGCATGCACATCGTTAAATCCGGAGAGAATGCGACTTTGTACTTTTAAAAAAAAATCAATAAAATGATGACTGATTAGTTGATCATTACATTTTCTATCCAGTGCTGGTGTTGGGCGAACAGGCGTGGTGATCAGTATTGATAGCGTCGTAGCTCACGCCAAGACAACTAGAATGGTAGATGTCTTCAACTTCGTAAAGAACATCAGACAGAAACGACCATACATGGTCCAAACACAGGTCAGTTACCTCTCAAATCATACACCAACTGCTGCTGCAGTTTGACACACAAACTTTTCAGTTTAGACACTGATAGGACCGACGGAATTCAACGTAAAGTGCTTTTGCAGAGATTGCCATATGATTATTCTACACGACATGATGTGAAATTAAAAACAGTATCACTATGCATATACATGTTAACAGCATTTTGGGGGGTCAAGTGTACTTTCTTGATTTATAAAACATACTTTGTATGGAAAATTTTGAATGATTAAAAATCCTTTAAAAAAAAAGGAACGTGTTGAAAATTTGCTTGTTTCTTCGCGTTGTTGATATTAAACAGGATATTCTCAAAGGAAATGTGTTTAATATCAAGAACCTTATAAAATTAACATAGGGCACCGCTTGTTCTAATTTTTAATTTTGTTGTACATGTTCCGTCGTATTTCGTAAAAAATATAAGATATTTTAGTGGATGAGATGGAATTGATACAAAATGTTTGAAGCTTTCGTTCCTTACATGAATACAGGAGCAGTATGCCTTCATCTACGGGGCTGTCCTGGAGGATCTTCTCTGGAGGAATACCCTGATCCCTGTCGTTCATTTCACTGATCATCTACAAGACTTACACTCTTCAGGCGATGGACGTGGACGGTCCAAGATGACCAAGGAGTTCCAGGTAACGCATCCCAATCATTAATTCGATAAATAATGAATGTCTACTGACAGTAACGACTTTAGTTCTCTCCCCGGTATTCTACAAGGGCAGGTCCACACCAGAACTTTCTTTAGTTCTGTCTCCATCTCTCTCTCTATATATATATAGCCTTCTTCTTCTTTAGCTGTAAAAATGAACAACTTCTGACCTTGATCATAAGCCATGTAATGGTTCCAAGTCAGTTCATTGTTCACTTTCCTCTAGAAAACCTGAAAGAAAGAGAGAGATATGGATGGGGGCATTATATCTTAGTTTCAACGAAACTATTTTTCAGGAATGGCCTCGGCCCAGTGGAAACAACTCATGGAGAAAGAGAAAATATCCCATTTACAAACCAGCTCTTGCGCTCTTAAAATGGAAATGTTAGGGATGTCGTGATCCGTCAAAGATAAACTCCAGTTCTGGTAAAAGAAAGAAAATTAATTCTCACAGAATCAAACGAAACTTACACTGAATGTTCAAGAAGTTTTGGAAGAAAATGTATACTGGCTGAGTAATGAACATAGAAAGACAAGGATATCAAGGTAGTACTAGCCCCGACACCATGTGTGTTGTCCCATATATAGCTTTTTGTGTACAGTGCTTGTTACTTTGCCAAGACGCTGCCAAATTTATTATGATTTTGATGACTTCAGAACCTTGCAGTGCACACTAATACCTACATGCTACATGATCAAATGTTTCTGATCCATTCCACACCTTTTCTTTCACAATGCAATCGCATTACCAGAACTCACCTTTATCTTTAATCACTGAACTGTAATTCAAATGAATTGTATTTTTTCGAATGTCACTCGCAGCACTATCTAAACTTAGGTTTAGTGAATGAGTACCTACTAAGAAGTAACAGTAATTCCTTGAATGCTTTCAGAACCTTGAGACAGCTAGGCTAAAGCCAAGATAATAATGTGATTCCGTTAACACCTTGAAGATCCCTTGGGTGGATAAAATGCGCAGAATGAACGTAGCTAATATTAAAGTTGAATCTATATTTCTGCATGCGCGAAAAATATGCCAGAACTAAGGCTGATGATTATCAACGTAATTCGTGATGTAAACTAAACATCATATTTTCTGATTAAATCAGACTTTGAAGAGCCTCTGTCCAGATCCTCCGGCTTCTCAAACAAGATCAGGACGCACTCGAGATAATCACCCCAAGAATAGATACGGAAACAACCTACCATGTAAGTAATGTTAGGATACCAACAAATACACACACACACACACAAACAAACACATACACACCATTTAAGTTCAATCATTTTCGTCAGTTGACATAATATGTAAATCGTAGACTCTTGACAAATGAGAAGTAGAACGCCGTGGTGAAATGTATGGCAATGTCGTGAGCAAATGAAATAACACCACACGGGGATCCCAAGATTGTCAGGAGACGGTGCAGTTAAGACTGGAATGGTGTAGGGGTTGGGGGATACCCAAATCTTTGAGTCCGTTAAATTCAATTCGAAGTCGGAGAGGTGATATCACATAAGATTTGCTCCTAATAATAATAATAATAATAATAATAATAATAATAATAATAATAATAATAATAATAATAATAATATGTCTTGTTTACCCAGGGTAGCCTCATCAGTATTCATACTGTTCTCCCTGAAGGCCCTGCAATCATATTATTACCCCAGTCATCGGATTCAGACTTACCTAAAATCCAATATTGCTATCAAACAATATGAAAGACTACTCGTACTTGTTTTATTGTAAATGTTGGGTTGTAGTGTAGCGTAACGCTGTTTGAAATGTTCTTTTGTTTCCATACCATTCTAGTGCAGAGGAATCGTGTGATACTAGACTCCCCAGATCATGATTACATCAATGCTAGTCAAATGAAGGTGAGATGTTCATTCAGTATTGATAGATTCAATTTACACATGTAATTTAGTGTCAGAAAAACTGAAGGATTAAATGACATTGAAACCGTTTACATCTTCATTTGACTCGTGTTCAACATAAGAAACTGTAGACCCATTGGGCGTTGGCAATAACCATGGAAACATAATGTGCTAATATAGGTATTATTAATATGATTGATAATTAGCACACAAAGTATGTGTTTGTGTGTCCTATCATACTTTAGTGACTTGTTTTATTACGAAAGCTTCCAAAACGAATTTGACAACAGTAAAATGCGCGGTAATACATTGATGATATTCCAGTTTCTATATTTTAATAAAAGTGACACTGTGGATCGATTCATACCCATTAAATGTACCCGCACTGTCGCCATTATAATATATAATGTACTATGGAAGATATTATATAAGAACTGTTACGTCTTTTATTAACTATCTTGGAATAAAACTTGATTGATAGTCATGTACGGGGTGTAGGGTGGGGGTGCAGTTCAGTAAGTGAGCCCCTCTCCGCCTAGGGTGCCCGTGCTTCGAATATATTGACAGCTCTTATAAAGCCTTTCATGACAATGGAAGTAGGTGGCAAGGGTCTCATGTTGTTACCGGATATTGTATTTATTCTTCCCTCATCTTTCAGGGGATCCACTGTACCTTCATGACAACCCAGATGCCACTGCCAACCACTGTGTCTGATTTCTGGTCTCTGGTCCTCAACTATAAACCATCCACTGTCGTCATGCTTAATGACAAGAGCCAAAACGACAAGGTAGTAGTGCGAGTATATGTCAATTTTTAAATAAATTGTATTAGTTTAAGTTTGGGAGATTTAAAGACCTTGCTATTTTGTATTGCTTCTTTTGTTTTTTGATACGAAATAATCCATATACTTAACATGATGAATGTTGAATTCCCATCAGCGGCGCAGAAGGGAGGGGGTACCGGTCCTTTGTTTGAACAACCCAATTCGAGCTCCTCCCTGGATTAATAGTGTTAGTAGTAGTAGTAGTAGAAGTAGTAGAAGTAGTAGTAGTACAATACAGGAACCAAGTTGCCAAGAATGTGCACAGAGCACGTTGTGAGTACATCAACAACATTATCGAGCAATCCTTAAGGACAATCCAAAGTCTTTCTGGTACTACATCAAGACATGTCGATCGGAAAACATTGGTATTCCTACTTTGCGTACTCCATCTAAGCTGTGCGCCTCAGCATTAGACAAGGCAGAGACACTGAACGACTACTTCCAGTCCGTCTTTACTCCTCACCAGCTCCACTCTCTTGTACAGAAAGGATATTCTCCTTTTCCAACTACTGGTCACCTGCACGTTCACAGGACCGGTGTCGAGAAACGCCTCCAGCAACTGGACCCTTCAAAGGCCAGCGGACCTGATGAACTTCCACCGAAGCTCATAAAGCTGGTAAATCGCGAGATTGCTTCTCCACTGTCCTTGTTTGTCAACAACCACTCAATCGACAACAGCCGTCCACGGCTGGTCCTCCATCCTTCAGCAGCGCAACCAAGCTGATATAATCTTCTTGGAGTTCAAGGAGGCATGCGATCGAGTACCACACCTTCTCCTGTCGACCAAACTTCAGTACTACGGAATAAGTGGTCACAAAAATGCTAGAGCAAGTACAAAGAATTGCGGCTCGCTTTGTGTACCGTGATTACAGATACACCACATCACCATCGGCTCTTGTGGCAGCTCTAGGGTGGGACACGCTTCACACACGTCGAATCCTCGACTAATGCACCCTTCTCTACAAGATCCATCACCGTCTTGTCTCCATACCTGCACCAACTATTGTCATCCCTGCTACATACTTCGGAGGACACGACCACAACCTGAAGTATGTAATTCCTGTTGCAAGTACTGACTCCTTCAAGTTTTCATACTACCCGAGAGCAATGAGGATCTAGAATCATCTGCCAGGTTCAGCAGTCAATGCAACAGGAATAACCAACTTCAAGGAGGCTGCTCTACGTACATCAGAATGATGCAGCCCCCTGTTCGTTCCCACATCATATAAGCTTACTTGCTTGGTTCTTACTTGCACTGGACTTAGCATATTTTACTCTAAATTAACGAGTGCTTTGTCCACACACCATTCCTGCAATTCAGGACACTCCTTGTAGTTACTCGCCTCACCTACCATCCCAGTATAGCTTCCTGAGTGAGCTGCCAAATGGATTACCCAACCAATTACCAAGGTAGTAGTAGTAGTAGTAGTAGTAGTAGTAGTAGTGGTGGTAGTATAGAAGTAGAAGTAGTAGTAGTAGTAGTACTAGTAGTAGTACTAGTAGTAGTACTAGTAGTAGTGTATGAGTAGACTTTAATGGATAACTTGGTTAGCATAAGGCTAATCTTCACAGTGTTCAGAAGGCTCATTTACAAACTAACATGGCTAAAGTGACTAGTAATTGCAATTCAAGAAACCTGTGGCATTATTTTAAAAAAACTGTAAGAGCGAGAGATATAAATGTAATAGGTCAGGAAAGGAGCGAACAGAAAAGGAAGGACTAACATGTATGTATGTGTATGAACATTTAACGATAGCCTTGCCTCTCCTCATTCTAGAGCTGTGCACAGTACTGGCCTGATGCTAACTCGGTTCAGTTTGGATCCTATTCAGTTTCAACCTTATCAACGTCATCTGATGGGGACATGACCATTCGGCAACTGAAAGTTACCAGAAACTCCAAAGTATGTCTTATTTCATATATTTCCTTTACGACACAGTGATTGTTGAAGAAGAGACTGTGAATTTAGATGTGATGCCCTCCGTTTTTACGGATCAAGAAATCTAATATTTTTAGCGAACCGCATTATGAATTTCAACCAGAACAGTTTTTCCAACCGGGCGAACTGCGACTTGATGAATATCTAGCTTTTGTCAAATATTATGGCAGTTGAAAAGCAATAATTTTTGGTAGAACGCAAAGATAAGATGCAAAACTGTGACCGATTCAAATATGCCTTATACATCCATTTCCACGGATCGTTTTGTTTCGTTTTCTTTTAGACGAGTCACACCGTCACTCAGTACCAGTTCCATGGATGGCCTAAACATGGATCAGATCCACAATTAGGGGCTAGGTCGTTGATGAAGCTCATCCGTGCTGTCAAAAGTTCCACTAACAAAATGAATGAATTCTCCATTCTTGTCCATTGTTTGTAAGTCTAGGATCTTTTCAATGCTTACTTATCCTAAACAATCGCAATTGGTGCAAAGTCCACTGAAGCAGGATCGGTCCATAAATACAACAGCAAAAATTAGCTGTATTTTTTGGAAACCAAGGCAATGATTTAAACATCTTTGAACTCATATAAACTTTTAAAGGTAAAGAACAGTATTGGAAACGCCCCAATTTCAAAAAATGAAATGGAAGCTCTTATTACCACTCATGTGAAAGAATATGTTTTGAATAATACATGATGATACAAAGATTTCCGGGAAATATTTGGTAAATTAGTTTATCTAAAAACGCACGTGTCGCGCAGGGCTTGCTAGCAGCAGTTAATGTATGCAAAGTGGATTCCATCTTTAGAGATACTATTATATAAATCAGGTTTATTAAATAGTAAGTAACCAGGGGTTCTAAAAAAAAAACATGCAGAAATTGAAATGCTTTAAAATCAAGGGATATCCAGTTGCGAGAAATGTATTACTATAAACGAAATTTATTTGATTCAAGTCTTAATAATAATTTCGCCCAATAGTCTTTGGTTATTTGTCTTTGCTTATTGTACCTTGATTATTGTACTTTTAACATATTTACATTTTGTTTAACATTAAAGGAGTGGTGCTGGGCGAACAGGTGTGTTTTGCACTGCTATGGAGTGCATCGCTCAGATAGCTGAGGGAGATTCCGTCGATATTTTCCAGACAGTCAAGATACTGCGAGCTGACAGGATGCAGTTCGTCCAAACTGAGGTATGCAAAATTATTTGTAATTTTATCACACAGGTCAAATTACTCCTGTAATAATAAATAAGAAACATGAACTATGATGAAATATCATCTGTAATTACAACATTTAAATAGTATTCCCTTGTTGTACTATGGTATGCAGCGGTAGAAGTTAAATTGAAATAGATATTTGAAATACATTGATCGGAGTCAAATCTATGACTGTTTTTTCTTCTATTTTACATGTGAGGAATACAGCCTCTAAAGGACGTATTTTAGTTCGAAAATATATTCGTGTATTTCCCTCATTTTACAGTATCATCTTTATTCTATTTTGTTTTTAAATCGTAATCTTCATTTCTTCATCCCTGTTTGCCAACGAATATCAAGTAGTTAACAAATATAACCTCCCCATACAATTTTATATAGGAGGAATATGCTTTCGTCTATGATGTCATCCGTGAATACCTGCACACTGAAAACTATGAGCAGCTTCCATACCCGATAGAGGACCACACGTATGGCAACGTAGAAATCGACTACACACTTGAACCGGAAAAGAACCCGTATGAGGTCACAGATCCGCAGGAAGCAGGCGCTGCCGCACTCGTGTATGGCAATGTAGAGACTGAGAGGAGCCAGGACAGACCGAAGCCAGAGCCTCAACAACCGTACTCTGTATACGAGAACGTTGCATTTGATTCTTAAATTCATATAGTTTTTCGTTGTTTGAATGGTGCTCTGTATACGAGAACTTTGCATTTGATTCTTAAATTCATATAGCACTGCGTTGGTTGAATGATGATCCTGAAATCTATGGATGAAACTGTATTTGTAGATATTTTTGGTTGTGAAGTATTTTTGTTTTAACCTTAGAAAATAAAGTGGAACTACGGAAAATTTATTGTGGAGGTGTCGTGGTATACGTGGTTCATTCACTTGATTTTCAATCTAAGGGTTTAGGGTTCGAATCTCAGCCCGCCACTAACATCATATGACAAGCCATTAATACACATCTGTACAGGTGCATTGTTTTTGGTGATGGAGTGAATGTTCTTTAAGCTTATGAAGTACATAGTTATGATGTATTAAAATGTCTTAAATGTAATACAAAGTTTTGGCATGGGGTCATGAATTTGGTTCAAATGAACATATTGGGAGCATATGCGATCTTAAATAATTCAGTGATCGTTGACGCCGTTGAAATCGAGTCTAAAGTTATACAATTGTAAATAATACACTCTTTATGTTGTATAGCTCCCTCTCAAGGTCAAGATATTTATTTAGTTATAAAACAATGTTTCTTGACTAAAAGCGACTGATTAGCTATTCCCGTTTTGAAATATATCACAACTACATATTGTGCGATTTTCACGGTCGCAGCTACCATTGTACGGCCGTAGGCGCTATTTGAAATTTATCAAAATTTACCGGGAGTACCGGTAAATTTTTATATTCAATTTTTCTCGAAAGCAGAAGTGTTTTAGGGGCTAAATTTTCTAGTGCTTATAATACATCCACAGGGGCATCCAAATATATCAAAATTGTAAGGAATCACTATCCACCAAATTTTCAAAATTTTCCAAAACTTTGTATTACCTTCAAAGTAGATATTCATTGATTTAAAAACTAACTTTATTTTCATTACTGCAAAGTTGAAACTTTGATTCGACAAGGTTATCAAAATTCAATTCTTGGAAACATTCAAAGTAATTATTATTATAACTTACACAGCGCTTAAATACAGCCCCGGCATAGCACCTGAAGAGCTCTCCGAACGCTGCTGAGATGTGTGAGATCACAGGATGGACATGATTTGCGCAAGCAGACGATGTCCCATGGCATCTCACACATTTTCAGTGCCTGTTCTTCATCTTCTCTTGATATCTTTCTCTTACTTCACTACCGTCATGCTAAATATATAACTCATTGCCTCACTCTAAACCCCGCGCGTGGTTTTAGTTTGATGACAAATGCAGCGATACAAAAATAAAGGAATCTGTCGCTTGTAAGTTGTAAACAAAATAAGACGCCATTGTATATTCAGCTGCACACACCGCGTTATGTTCGTCGTTTCAAGAGGGAACAAATGCCGCCCTTAATATCATTCCGGGGGGGGGGGGGATGGGGTTTCAATTTGAAAGTCTGGTTTCCTTGATTGTTAATTAACCCCCATCCTGTGTATTTACAAACAAAAGAGTTTAGTTATCAGAATCGGTTCCCTTTTGAATGATTTGAAATGCCATCCCATTTATATACACTAAACTCATTATAATTTGAGAAATAATAGCTGTCGTCTGCTTGGGCAGTATTGATCCATTATGTGACGTCATTAAAACATTGTTATTTTTCTGGCGAATCTCTCGTATATCCCAGATTCTATGGAGGTGGTTGTATTTGTATTTTTTTTTAATAAATCACCCGATATGTAGTTGACCTAAGACTTGTACGATGGCCATCTGTTAGCTTACCAGTTTCTAGTGATACATTGTTTGACATATTTGTGATTTTCTTTGAATTTCCAATTCAAGGTCTGTTATTCACGTCTGAAGTATGAACCCTTTTGGTTGATAAAATGATTGCTCTTAACCTATTAACCATTGGTGAATAGCGAGTTGTATCAAATATTTTGTATCCAAAAACTGTCAACTGTCAAATGATCTAACCTTGGATCATTGTTTCGTCTTTGTTTATCATGTCTGTCTGGTATGTATGGCTTTGTTTGTTTATACGAAAATTATTGAATATCAGTACTTTCCAAATAGAGGTTGTATTACCACCATTGTGTTGTCAGTTGACTCATGTAAACCTGCAATATTTAGGTTCTTTCGTTGAATTAATGAACGTGAATTTGAAGTCTATAATGGTGTTTGTTGCAGAAAATGATGATATATATATGTACAAATTAACATTTTTTCTATTTTTATTGCACTTTTCTATTTTTGAATTTATATTGAAATATATTTTTCAAAGGGTGCAGGTTTGTGTAACGAATTCATACGACTGACTGATTTATTGTAAATAAAGAGCAAATTCAATTACTATTTACATTAACACACCACAATAAAGGCTGACAGTTCTTTCTAAATGCTGCAAGTCAATGGTAGATGTATTTGAAAATGTTTAACGAATATGCTCAAAGTCACTATAGCCTTTTAAAACTGCATGCAAGTGAACTAAAAAAGTGTGCTTATTCTTTGCAAAGTATAAATGTATAAAGTATAAATGATGTTAGATACATTTCTAGTAATGGTTGATTTCCATTTAAAGCAAGTAGTCTCGAATTCACACTTATCATGCTTGTAATTGTTAGAAATAAATGTATAACTTGTGCTTGTCACACTTTTTATATCCCCCTCTGTATCATCAAGTGCATAATAACCACATAATATTAGAAATACAGACAAAAAAAAATCGTTTCGTTTTCATTTTCATTTTATGTTCTTTGTTCGCTTAAAATTCAACAGCACATAATGAAAAAAATCAAGGTTAAAAAATTGAGGTTACATGATATAAACTAAATTCTAAAAATTGATACAAATAAACAGAGTAATATGCTCAGGGAGACAAGCAAACATACTAGTGATAGTTTTTCAATTAAATAAATTAAACAAATTCAATCTTCATATACAGTAGGTTTGCGGGTGCACCATGTGAGAGAGAGGGAGAGGGTTGAGGAGTCCTGAAAAGGACCCTGACTCGGTAATCTTTCTTGGGGATGTGTAGTCCTGAAACGGACTGTTTTTTATCTTTCTTAGCATATAGTTCTAAGGAGAACTATAGCGCTTGGAGAGGATGAGTTGCTCGACGTTTCGAACGGGTTGACTATCCGTCGTCGGGAGTAAGCCGACACTTACAAGCAGCATCTAAATTCAATCTTGTTTTATAAACAAAATAAATCATAATATATATATATATATATATATATATATATATAATATATTTATTATTGGCAGTATCTGTTATCATGTATCGGGGATGTGAAGGAGCTACTCAAAATAGAAATTACACAATTGCCATATTTATAGAATAAATGTATATCCGTTCATATATTTTGCACATATTTCACAAGCATAATCATGACATTGTGAATAAGAATAAATAATGATAACGACCAAAATAAAATAGTAACAAATCCATCGCAATAATGTTAATAGACTTAATTGACTTTATCCCTCGAACCATCTCAGTCTAAAAAAAAGTGGTAAAACAAGCAGGAAGGGAGAGGAACATAAAAAGAAGGCGATAATATCCCCTTCCCTAAACTCACAGTAAGAGCCGTGCGTTTCCCCAACTTTCCCTTGACACGCAGTGCCCTATCAAAAACTGGACACACACTTTGCTGGTACACGTGAGGGAAACCTACTCTTTGCTCTCATCTAAGAAATACATGCATATTTCTGCTGATTCAATCTATATGTATATACATTTAATATTTATTCCTCGGTTGCTTTTTTTACAAATAATACTAGGAACCAATATTGATGGATGACTGATTAGGGCAACCCTTTGGCTTCGCAAACCTACCCATTTCCAATTTTGATTAGCTCCATGACCATAGGCGCCGGAAGTGGGGGACATGGGGGGGGGGGGCAGTTGCCCCCCCCCCCCGATCTACTTCTTCCCTCTTTTCTTTTCTTCTTCCTCATCTTTTTTTCCCTTTCTCTCCTCTTTCCCTTTCCCTTCTTTCCTTCTCTCACTCTCCTTTTTTTTTTGCGGGGGGGGGGGGGGGCAAGGCCCGCTTGGCCCCCCCTGTAACACGTCAATGGCCTCATTAAGGGCCCCTGGATGCTCATCTAACCGTAATTAAATACCTAAAACCCCTTAGCTTCCGGGGGCTCAGCCCCTTAACCCCTTGCCGAGGCTCATAACCTGGACCCCACGCCAATTTACGCTCTACCTGATCGTTAATACTCCACTTTGAAAAACGTTCCACGGGACCTGCATGTAACATGTAAGACTGGTGGTGATGCACATTTTTCGTCTGCCCCCCCCCCTTCCGAACGTTTTTTCCCCATGACGTCACTGCCCCTGGTAGGTGAGCCCCCCCCCGGAATGTTTGCCCCCCCCCCCCCCAAATTCCAAACTGCTTCCGGCGCGCCTGACCATGACAACCATTATATCACTAGTATTGATTAATCTTACACGGGAATTTACTGTGCATTTTAAAGTTTAAACAAAGTATATTACTCTTAGATAAATTTGTATTTCAGTGTTATAGCTAGTGATATATATTTTTCATCATGAAGTGAATCATACATGTTATAATCGCTGCGTATGCTACTTTGTTCTGTTTTTGTACTCGTGGCCTTGGTTGTGTATCCCATAGAATTATGTTTTTCATCAGATATTTGAAGTATGAAATATTAAATAAGTGTCTCTGAAAATACATGGGATACTTGAACATATTTAATTTTGTTGTTGTTTGATGTAGAAAGTTTTACTGCCCAATCTAATTAGGATAAATGTATATATGGTCAGATACTATTTATTATTATAAATAGAAACCTGAATGTTTTAATGTTTAATGATAACATATTATAGTAATTGAAAAGTTGCAAGAAAAACTTATCTAACCATTCTTAAGTATTGATTGACTTGATTGAATCTCAGCCAAAAGATAAGGTTAAATTGTAAATTGGAGAAAAGGCGAAGGCGAAGGCGAAGGCGAAGGCGAAGAAAAAGAAGAAGAAGTGTTGGGTTTATTC